AAAAAAAAAAAAAAATGATAAAAATGAGAAAGAAATATTTTTTTTTTTAAAGTGAATAATATTTTTGACGAAATAATTTGTATGGTATTTATTATACTGGTGTGCTTAATAATGGTACGATAACTAATGTGTCACAAAATTGTCACATCGAATCATTATTAAGCATAAACGCCCATTATCATATTTGATTAATAACTAAACTTTTTATACTTTTCATACTTTTCATACTTTTCATACTTTTCATATTAAATCAAACGCGTAATTCTCAATATTCTTCTCATTCAGAATATAATTAATTAATTTTACAGTATCACTTAGTATTTAAAATATAATCATATTTTTATAATAAAATTAATAAAATTGTATTTATAAACGTGCTCGTGTCGTATTATAAACCAATTAGGAATAAATTATAGTCAGATCGTTCCAAATTGGGAATGGAACGTTTCGGTAACTGGCGGAACCGGAATAACCGATTCGGATTTATCCGATTCTTACAAAGTCGGTTCCTAATAATTATAAAGTTTAATATCCTAAATATTTTTTTACACGATTATTTTAAAGAAATCGGCAAGCTCAATTTGTTTGTCATGAGATAATTAAAGGTTTAATAACTAACTGCTAACGTTTCTAATAAATGAATAAAAGATATGTCGTCAAGTAAGACTTTTAAAAAGTGTTGTAAACGAAGAAGGAAAGGCGTTCAGTTATACGATTAGTAGATTTCAATAAATTAGATATCTGATATAGGGAGTTAAATAGAAATATTCAGAGACGAGTAAAAAATTTAATAATATATGAGTACATAATCCTTTTCGATAGAAATGTAAGAATTTCGTCAGCATTCTATTTAAATCATGTGCAAAACTGATGATCGTTACGCTTTTCGCCGGTCAAATTTATTTTATTTAAATTTTATAGCATTATTGTATTATGTAAATTTATGAGAAAGAAAAGATGCCTTAATAGGTTTTACTAATTTGAGTAAATATAAATTTGGATTAAAAATAGAAACATGCGGTTCAAAAAAATAAACTTTAAATTAAATTATCTTGTTAGACCGTTCTAATATAATTGTTTGTTTAACGTCCAGGGGGAAAAGAACAGCCTTTGCATATATTAATGTTGCACAAATTTGTAAAATGGCTTGCAAATCATTAATATATAGGGAACCAATTATAATTAAAGACTTCTATTAATTGTTACAATTTATAAAAATATAATACATAACCATAAACAGGATAATAATTATTCTAATCCGTAGTAAAATAAATTTTTTGTTTTTTTTCTTTGTCTTCCTATGCACGCTCAATATTACATAATCCTGATCGACAAAATCATAAATCTCGATAAGTTTAAATCCAAAAACATAGAATGTCAAAGATGAAACAAACCTACGACAGTTTGACAGTTCCATTATTACATGCACTATAAATCGTTTGATGCATATACATATCAATTTTGTAATATTCCGTTCAAAATGTTTGAATAATTTTTTATAAAGTTATATAATGTTTTGATTGATAAATTCCTATTATTTGGCATACGCTTCATCTTCAACTTAAGTCTTAAGCACTCCTTTTACAATTTCTTTTTAATCATGAAGTCCTACTTAAAATGAAAGAAATCAAATAACAAATGTATTGTTAAAAAATTATCAATAAACAAACAAATAAATAAAATAAATTAATATATAAATAAATTCAACGTAAGATCACTGTTTATTTTTTGAACATGACATTTTGTATTAGTTTTGCCGCAGAATCTCTCAGCTTTAATAAAATTGATTGTCAATTATTTCTTATTTTCGTTAAACAAATAGTTGTACATACGATTTCCTTGTATTTTTTTAAAAAAATGGCGCAGTACATTGCGATTTGACGAAGAAATGAAACAAAATATTAATATAAAAAAAGTCTTTGTTGAAAAATATATATAATGGATATAAATTTATTAATATCAAAATTCGAATTCGTGTTAAAGAAATTGGATATATTTTTTAAATTTTAACATAATAAAAAAATTATTAGAAACTTTCAAACCCTTACACATTATATACTTTAAACCCTAACATATAAATTTTTATAAAAAAAAAATGGAGGATTCACTTCAAGGTGTACTTCGTGATTTCTACAATAAACTTAATAAAACAGAGAAATTACTCTTATACACATGCATAACTGACTTGGCGGGTTACACGTTTTTACTAATGTCATTTTTAATTTTGTCGGGAAAATTTTTAATAAATTTTGTGGTCATTTTATTAATTTTTTTCCCAATAATTTCTGGCATTACGATGGTAAGTGTATATAATTGTATAAATTTGTTATTAATAAAATATCTTTAATTTATTTATTTTTAACATTTCTATCTACTTTATAGTTTTATAGCAAAACTATATTGCATGGGATTGCGTTTATTTGCGTTCATTCATTTCCAATAATTATGGGGGTGTCTATCTTTTATACACAAGATAACGTCTGTTCTGATATACCTAAAGATTGCATTTTTCCAAAAGGTTCAATATATTATATATCCGCTGTCCTTTTGCTTTCCTTTTTATTAATTGTCACGGCTTTTTATTGTCTGATCTTGTATCATCTCTGGGCAAGAAAGTAAGTCACTTTAATATTTTATATATTTGATATTTAGTAATTTAAACTAATAAAAATTTATACAAATAAATTAGATTATGGCCCTTGAGACATGAATATCCGTACACAAAAAGAGAAGATATTATAGGTAAGTTTCTAATTTTTTTTTTTATAGATTCTTTTATCAAATTCTAATATTCATTTTTTATTATTATTTAGAAATGGATTCTGTGTATCAATTACAGTTTCCTATTTTTCATGCTAAAATAATGATGATAAGTTTATGGTCAATTTTTTATACAATTCTAATTTGGGGTATGGGTATATTAGGACGCATTTTACGTAAATTGGGAATTGCCAGTTATCTTATTCCATTGAATATTTTTGTTTTATTTTATACATATTCGATGTTGAAAGGTGTAAGTATTATATATTATATAATTTTTAATAATAATAACTGAATGTTTATTTATCAATAAAATTCTTATGTACTATATATAAATATTTTTAGGTTAGAGACGAATCAAGACGGTTGATGTTTATTTTATATATTGGAAATATTTGTCAAGCTATATTATTGTATCTTGGAACAATTGATTATTGTCATGTTATATTACATAAATCAGTACGATATTGTTTTAAATACAGCCCATTTTTTGATACATTTTTTGTTATATCAGTAATATCATGGATATTATTGATTTTATCAATATTGAATTCAATTAGATGTCAAGGAAATTTTAAGAAAGGTCTTGGATTTTATTGTAAGTAAATTTTTTATTTTATAATTGCTATTAATAAATTTTATTTTTAATAATTTTTTTTTTATAGTAAGATATGAACCAACTCCAGATGAATTCAAAGTTGAAAATACATTAAAAAAAAGAGAATCGACCTCTGCTGATTTTGATTTATGATTTACTAATTCAGAGAGGAGCGAAAGTTCAACCGTTCAAGACATGATGGTACAAAATGTCCCGTTCGCGTATAACATTCCTTGATAAAGAAACCATGATTAGCATGATATATTTTCGATTTTCGTCACGTGCTCCGAACTTAACGGTCGTTTATTTTACAAATACTTTAAACAAACATTTTTAATTTGAAATCAACATTTCGCAACATATATTATATTTTTCTTGAATTAGAATATCATGTAAAAACAAGTCAATAAATTTAATAATTTTTCATTTTATTATACATTTGAACAAGTAAATAAATACAATTTTGAGCAATTGGTAAAAAGGTAGGGAATCGGAAACATTATTAGATGAAGAGCGAGTCTTTGATGATGATGTTTTTGAGCGATCTGTAGAAAACCTGCAGAAACACTTGTTGAGACACAATTCCATCCTCCTGCTCCAACTCAAATTCCTTAAATTATTATATTATCATTATTATCACGTGATTAGAGACCATTTCATCGACAAATAGTGTTAGTTATGCAAAGAAGTTAGAATAAATTAGTATCTTATGCTTCACTTTTATGACGATTGGAATAATTTTTATTATTTTTTAGAGCTCGAGCCATATAAAACGTTGAATTAGAATTTTTCATTACATGACAGCACAACCGCTCCCTTTTTCGGCAGGTTTTTCAGTGGCCTCAGCGGTAGGTGTTTAGAGACATGTAATTGGGTTCATTTTTTTTAGGAAAGTTAGTTTGTTAAAATTTTTGAATTGTTCGATAATTTTATTTGATAATATTTTTGAATTTTTTTTCAAATGGTTTTTTTTTGCTGGAAAAAATTAAACATTGCAAACTAGTTATTTTATACTTTTTTCAAGTTCATAATTTACTGCGCATGTACATATTTAAGTGCATGTCTCCATGTGTTTCTTGAACCATGACGATCTTATTGCGCTTTGTTGATACAATCTTATTTTCTCTATATATATATTGTAACTACGAATATATTTGATTTGAAATGTTTTGTTCTTGACCTGTGCGGGTCTGATTTGAATATTTTACAAGGGGGTCGACAAGTCCGATACTTTTTACGGCGAAATAAAAGGAGTATTTTTCCTTATTTAACAATAAAGTGATATATAGAAATAGGCGATAATGATTATTTAATTTTTTTTTCAATATCGTACAGCTAATTATTATTATTATGTATTAAGGATTAAGGATTTGAAATTTTAATAATAAATTTTCGTACTCATATTATCAACTTGATATAGATATTGAAGTTTATTCGTTACATGAAATCTCGATGATTAAAAATAAATAAAAATAAAATTGTTGTTCATTGTTGTTAATTATTAACATTTTTGTTTTTATTTTTTATCATTATTTCGATTGAATCAAAAAAAAACAGATTTAGAAACATGAATAATATTAAACGTAAAATATGATTTTTTTTTCATTTTTTTTTTTTCATTTTTTGTTATTTTGCTAGTCTTTTTAAATAGTTTTAATACCTTAATTTTGTCAATAATATTTGTCTTGATTATAAATTTCATATAATCAATATTCAGATATCACACCCCAGCCAAATGATCGACATAGTTTCTAAGCTAAGTGGGCGTGCACTACATCCTAGCTTATAAACTGCCCATGGGCCAGATTAGCCCACGAGATCTGATTGGTCCAAACAACTTACCAACATTTAATTACAAATAAGGCAATTTTATAACTTTTGACCGGATATTTACTTATAAACTCATCGTCAAGGATTGCATTAATGTACATTTTGTACCACCTTGTAACTATAAAAAAGGCAAAAAAATTTTCAAGGTTACACATTAATTTGGCCAGAATTAAGATAATTTCGCCCAGCAAAATTTGGCCGGAATTATAAAAACGGACATTAATGTCCGTTTTTGTAAATTTGGTCAGCATTATAAATGCAAATATTATAAATTGCATTAATTTATCATAATCCAGTGATCATAGAAAAAATAAATTATAACTTATTAGCTTTATCTCATCAAGACATGTTAAATTGTTAAATTGTGGTTTCTATCATCAATAGATGGAAAGTTATTGGCATTTGGAAATATTTAAGAATACAAAAAAATTCTTTTCAAACAATGTAAATATCTTATTATTTATTAATTCTAAAGGTATAAAACTCCTACCATTTAATACATCTCAATACAATCCAACAAGCTGTGTATTATTTTTTTACAATTACTTGATGACAAGTTAATGCAATTTAACTTTTAGCAATTTGGTATATTTTAACCAAAAAAAAATTTTTTTATTGTATTTAGATATCCAATAAAAATCAGTTGTTTTTATAATTTATTTGATATATAAAAGTATATGAATATCATGTTTTATAAATATTATATGAAAATTTTGTAAAGAAAAATATATAAAAATTTATAATTGATATAATTACTATAATTTATTATTTTAATTGCAATAAAGTTTATTTAATGTAAATTAATTATTTAATAAATTATATATTTATAAACATGTTTGTTTAATGCAATTGCAATTTAAGTTATTTAACATTTAAAAAATGATTTTTTGTTTTTATTTTTTACTATTAAATACAAATTATTTCAAAATTGCCAGAAAATTAAATTTTTTAATTATTATTTAAAAATTATGCTATTAAATAAAACATTAATTTTTTGTTTTTTATTTACTTTTTTTATTAGATCTAAAAATTGTCAGAAATTTAAATCCTTCAATTATTAATACATTACATATTTATGGAAGTTAAATAAACATACTTATTTAATGTAATTTAGCAATTAACATTGATTAATTTTGATTTTATTAATTTTTTTTTATTTGATGATTTTGATCCAAATTATTTCAAAAATTGATAGAAATTTAACTCTTTTAATTATTAATACATTACATATTTATGGAAGTTAAATAAATATACTTATTTATTAATCTATTTAATGTAATTTAGCAATTAACATTTAATTTTGATTTTATTTATTTTTTTTATTGATCCAAATTATTTAAAAATTAATAGAAAATTAAATAATTTATTTGGCTCTTTTAATTATTAATATATTATATATTTATAGAAGTTAAATAAACATACTTATTTAATCTATTTAATGTAATTTAGCAATTAACATTGATTTTATTTTAATTTTATTTTATTTTTTTATTTGATCTAAATTATTTAAAATTTGATAGAAAATTAAAGGATTTGATTCTTAATTATTAGTACATTATATATTTATAGAAGTTAGATAAACATACCTATTTAATAATAGAATTTAATATTTAAAATTATTTTTATTAATATAAAACTTAATTTTTGTTTTGTTTTTATTTACAGTATTTATTTATTTATTTTTTTTATTTTTTTTTTATTAGATACAAAATATTTTAAATATTGTTAGAACAAAATCATTTATTAAAAAAATTTATTGCAGTAAATGTTTATCAGTACATTTCGCAAATCCAAATTTTTTTTAATAAATGATTTTGTTAATCCAATTTCTAACAATATTTAAAATAATTTGTATCTAATGAAAAATAAATAAATAATAAATACTGTAAATAAAAACAAAACAAAAATTAATTTCATATTAATAAAATAATTTAAATATTAAATTCCATTAAATAGGTATGTTTATTTAACTTCTATAGATATAATAATATACTAATAATTAAAAGAATCAAATCATTTAATTTTCTAATAATATTTAAAATAAATTATATCTAATTAAAAAAAAGAATAAAACTCAATGGCCTATTAATAAAATAATTTTTCAATTGCTAAATTGCATTATTTATGTAACTTTTATGCATATGTAATGTACTAATAATAATTAAAGAATCTAATTTTTTAACAATTATTAAAATAATTTGCATCTAATAATAAAAAAAATATTTTAATTAATAAAATAATTTTAAATACCAAATTAAATTAAATACTAATATGTTTATTATGTAACTTTCACATATATTTAATTTACTATTAAATACTAGGTATATTTATATATAAAACTTCCACATATATTTAATATACTAATAATTGAAAAATCCAATTTTTTGGCAATTTTTAAAAATAAAAAAACCAAAAAGTCAATATTTTTTAAATAAACCAATTTTTTAAATGCCAAATAGCATTAAATAAATAGTATATTTATATAACATTATCTACAAAAATAGTATATAATGAATTGGATAATCAAATAATTTATTTATATATTCTTAATGTAATATATATATTATATTAAAGTAAACTTCCATAAATAGTATGTGATGTATTATTTTATAACAATTAGAATAATAAATTAAATTATTAATTAATTATATCAATTATAAATTTTTGTAAATTTTCTTTACAAAATTTTCGTATAATATTTATAAAACACAATGTTCATATAACTTTTATAT